TATATATAAAAATCTTGAAATGTAATACTAATGTAGTGCCAACAATGTAGTTGGTAAATAAAGCACACTAAGAAGAAAAAATGGTCCCAAAATAACAAAGGTTTTTTTTTCTTCTTCATTTTGCTAGTGCTGTTGCTGAGGTTGAAGGAATCAAACCCTTAGTAAATACCTTGAACGCTCAGAGAGATGGAGCCATTGCTAATGCTGCTACAGTGCTAACAAATCTGGCCGTGCAGGAGCCATTCCGCATAAGTATCCAGAGCCGTGGCGTTATGACTGCGCTTGTAGAACCGTTGCGCTCAACCAACAGCCAAGTGCAAAGCAAAGCAGCGTTGGCTGTGGCTGCATTTGGTTGTGATGCTGATGCAAGAACTGAGGTAATACTACTCTTCGAGGCTGTGGTTATTTATGACATTTCTAGATTCTGAAGTCGGTGTTACAATTGCGTAGAATCTTTGTATTTTGTGTCAGTTCTAAAAGTGCTGGGCTTTCTAGATAGTAACTAATTTTTCACTTTCATCATAGGCTTGTTCAGATGAATTTAGCTCAGTTTGTCCATGAGAACTTGGAAACGGTTTTCTTTAATTTGTATTTTTACTGCTGTATTTGCTTGCACCAAATTAAATTTTTACAGCTTCAGTATGCTTTAACCAGGGCTATATCTTAATCCCCATGTTCATGAGCATTAAACATTAAGGTTTCTTTTAGCTGGAACTCTGAAGACGAGAAGTTCTGTCCTCTTTACTCTCCCTCAGTGTTGGTCTGTTCTACTTTGAAGGCCTGAACGGCAATGTCTGACCTTGATTAATAAGATATGGATATGCATGGAGTAAATGTAATTTAGACAAAACTCAAAATATAATTAATCCCTTGAGCAGTGGTATCAAGCAAGTTGAACTTTTCACTGTTTATCAATGGTCATACTATTTTCTTTTCATAAATAAGGATGATGCTATGTGCATTCATAGATCTTAAGCTGGGGTTTTCTCATGGGTCAAGGCTGTTAATTAGGACACAAATAAGGGGCATAGATAATTAATCTACCTCTTTCAGTGTCCTTAAAATGTCTTTCTCTTCAAAAATCCAAATGAGCAATATTTCCTCCAGCATGTACAGGAAAGATACTGCAGCACACGAGAGAATAGGATGTTAATAAGATTGTCATACATACAATACAATACGAATTCAAATATATTGTGATGTAAATTAGTTGCTAGGAGGCAACAGAACACAGAAAAAGCTGTGTAACTCTCCATGACAGTCTTGTGTTGCATAGTCTCTTTGGTTTCCACACCGCAATCCAATAACTGAAAAGCAAGGCAGAGCCAGAAGGGATGTGTGCCTCATAACTCTCTGAAGCTCTCTCCAGCTCCAGCCTATGCAGGGTTCACAGTAGCACAGAATCCCCATAAATGGCCTTTCTACCAGCCTAGCATAGGTTGTCTACACAGCTTCAATGTTTTGGAAGGTGAATTTCACAGGCTGTTCTTGATGGGATAGATGAAATATGTAAGTGGCAATGTCTTATTTTTTTTTATAGTTGAGAAATGCAGATGGACTGGGACCACTCACTGAACTGCTGCATTCTAAGAATGAAGAAGTCAGAAGAAATGCCTGTTGGGCTCTTATGGTCTGTGCAAGTGATGAACTAACCACTGCTGAACTGTGCAGGCTAGGGTGAGTAGAAATAGTTGCAAGGGGCAGAGGGAAGATTTTGATGCAAGAATTCCATTAAGTCGATCTTTATGTATTTAAAGCAGAGTAACAAGGTTAAGCTATTCTTTTTGGTAAGTAGAAAGTGCTTTTGCACCACAGGTATTACAGATGAAATGGTTTGAATTTTAAGTAACAGAAGTCTGAAGAAAAAACATCAGTCTGAAGAGAAAACTGTCTGGAATTATAAAAATGTTTATTGTTTCTGTGACTGAATTAGGCTTTATATTGACGATGTGCTTATATCGGTCAAAATTAGGGACTACAGTGCCCCATACATATGAAACTGAAATTAAGGTTTCAGGCTAAGTTCAATATACGGTAAATTGTACTTATTACACACAGTCTAAATTTGATTTACAAGTTCTGGTTAACTGCAGGTGTGCTGAAGTGTTGTGTCTAAGAGACTCTATTTTGTTCCTTCTTAGAAACTCCAAGTTCCATATATTAATCATCTGAATTACAAAAGCTCATTTAGGTTAAAAGAATTATAACACAGGGCTTCTTATACAGGGTGACTCTTTTAGTTATCATTAAATTAAAATATATGTAATTGCCCTGCTCCCTCTGCTGGACACTTCTCTGGTGACTGCACAAATATTTAAAATCAATCAATGAGTGGATTCTGCAGAGTGAGAATCTCAGACATTTAGGTCAGGAGGGGACCTCAAAGGTGATGTTATCCACCTGCCCACTGTAAGACTAGATCAGATAAACCGACATATTTTTTCTTGTTCAGTGTAAATACCATTTCTGAGGGGCTTTCACAACTTTCCAAGGTAAGCTGTTCCAGTGCTGGAGTACCCTTACAATTAGGTGTTTCTGAGTTCTCAATATCCCTTAAAGCAAATCAATCCAAATACACGTTGTTCTACTTTCAGTGGGACTGAATAACCACCTCTTTATAGCAATTTCAGTTTAACTTACTGAAATTTCCCATGTTCCATGTCCCCCTCTCAGTTTCCTTTTCATGACAAAGTAAAAATGTTAAACTTCTTTTTGTTTTGAAATATTGTACCATTTTGTCACAAATCTCTGAATTTCACTCATTTATTTATGCCATTTTGAAGTGCCATCTCCCAGCCTGGATGAGGTACTTCAGCTGAGGTCATACCACCACCAAATAAATCTCTGTAATTATTTTCTATATCTTGTATATAGCACTGTTCTTATTTAACCCCTTCTTTATGAAAGTATCGGAGTAGGACTTTAATTTATGTGTCCTTCCAGTTTGACAGCATATTACTGATAATAATACTTTAGGCATAGTTTTTCAACCAGTGAGGCACTATTTTGTGTTATTTTCATGTAGATCATATTTCCCTGACTTGCTCATGAGTATTCAAGTAGGAATATGTGAAAAGACTTCTTAAAGTCAAAACATATTTCAAAGTCAACTCATATCTCACATCTACTTCTTCTGCCTATACGTTAAGTCAGTTACCCTGTCACAGAAAGGATTAGATTGGCTTTACATGATTTATTCTTGACAAATACGTAACAGGTATTTCTTATCTCTTGTTGCTTGCAGACTGATTGTTCAATAATTTGATATGGTGTTCTTTGGACCCTGAAATTTGGCTGAATGATCTCTATTATAATTTCATTGTTCTTTGTTTTTCAAATCTAAATACTATCTTTGCCCTTCTCTGCTCTCCTGGCATCTATCCTGTCCGCCCTGAATTTTCAAATACAATTATAAATAGTTCAGAGGTTGCTTTTGCCATTTCATAGAGTAATATGAGGTTAAGTGTCCTCAGGGACTGCTAACTTTGTCTCCTCAAACTTGTTCTAGACATGTTAAGCCTACTGTTTCTACCTCCTTGTTAATATTACTGCCAGGCATCTGCTTGCAACCCTTTTATGAAAACTGAAGCAAAAAAGGCATCAGACACTTCGGTCTTTTCTGTGCCATCTGTTATGAGTTTTCTTCCCGCATTGAGTAATAGGCCTATGTTTTCCTCTTTGACTTGTAGCATATGAAACATTTATTTTTGTTTCAGTCCCCAAATAGTTGTGTCTCACTTTGCCTGTGGATCTTTTGGGTTTGTCCCTTACTTTTTCTTTTATGTTGGAAGTGTCAGGGTTTTCATTTCTGTATTAACAATTTTTTTTTGGTTTTCGGGTCTTCACAGAGTTTTTATTGCAGCCGTATTTGCCTGGTTTTGTCTTTCCTCCATATGAGGGTAATGTGCCATTGTGCCTGTAATGTCATCTGGTTTAGACACTGCTGTACACATTACCCTTTCTTTCTCCATCTTCCCCTTTAAAATCCTTCCCTGCATTACTTGGTGGTTACCTGGCTTTGTTGCAGTATGCTGTATGACAAATAGCCTGTACTGCTGTTCCACTGTTTTCTCCTATTGCTCTCTTCTAAAAGAGAAGGTTGCCATTTGAAAATGTTCAGGTTGCCTGAAAAACTTGCTCTCTGGAATTCATCTGACATACCTTCAGAAGTCTACATTGAACATGTCCACAGCTGAGGTTCCCTGTGTAGTTCGTAGAGAGAAATGGGCAGTCTAAACGTGGAGTTAATTATCTATGTGTGTGTGTGTATATATTTATATGTGAAATTGATTCCTTAGGATGCGAAGAATGTCTGGATGTGTGTATAGACACACACACGTATACATTTGAATATGTACACACACACACATAGGAATATATCGCCTTCTTTTTTCCTGGTTTTTTTCATACCTGAACAGTTCCAAAACTGCAGTATGCTATGTTCTCCTGACTCAGCTTCCTTTATCTTCTTAGTGAGCTTTTGCTAAGGTTTTCAGGTCAGAAGTTATCAGTATGTTGGTTTCAGCGCCAAAACCAGCTTAAGAAATCAATTCCTGCCCTCCTATGTCCCCACATGACTATTTGTTTCTACCTCCACGCTGCAAAAATCCTGCCATCCTGGTGGTGCTGACACAGCTGCTTGTGTTTCCATGCTCAGCCGTGTTTAGCAAATCTCTGCCAGACACAGTAACAGTCCTAAGCCAGAAGGATTCACATATTGTGTAATGCACAACTGCAATCTGCAAATTGCATTGCGAGTGAGGTTCCCTGAACTGTATCATATGGTCATCTCTGAACATTATGCCTTTTACTGTACTTTACATGCTTCTTTTTCTCAAGTTCTCTGTGGTTCCAAACATCTTTCTGGTAAAAGGTTGTGGCGTCCTGTCCGCATTTCTTTAGGTAGCAGTTTAACTGCCTAAAGGAATTGCTTTTGACCACTGCAAGGTGTATTCCTCCCCTAGAGAAAGAATTCGTGCAGCAAATCTCCTTGCTGGCTCAGAGGCACAAGGCTAGCACTTGGAACTGAATCTGTCTCGTCCTTAGTAATGCCAAAAACTAACCCTGAACTGTATAATAATAACTAACTGGTATTTAATGATGAATTAGCATTTGTATTTCGTTTAACAGTGCTTTAGACATCCTGCAAGAAATTAATCTATCAACACGGCGCAAAAATAACTTTAGTGAAGCTGCTCTGGAAAAGCTACTTGATAACAATCTTTCCCAAAAGTACAGCCAGATGGGATATTTATCATCGAATAATATCATTACTGATGGATTCTATGATTGTGGTCAGGTAAGCTACTTTAAATAAATTACTGTACTTAGAGTAAAATTTTCTTCTTGATTTAGAAAAAGTAAAAGTACTATAGCAAAAGACAGATAGTGGCTACATAAAATACTTTGCTTTCTTGTCCTGAAGTTTCCTAGCTTTTATACTAATTTCTTTTGATTATGTTTCTTCATGGATGAAATCTTATCATCTTCATGCTGTCCTCCAGTTGCGATCTTCTTCCCAATCCTGTGTAAGCTCTGCAGACCTAGTTCCTTTCCAAATCCTTTCTCAGACTTTGTTTCTTCTGGTCTCTTTCCCTGCAGTATGCTTAATACTAACCTGACACTGAATGACCTATGGACTTTTTTGTTTGTTTGTTTTTACATAAAGAAGTAAAGAGTTCATATTTTCACCTTGGTCATGACCCTTTCTGCTCACAAAGCAGTGTTCATATGTAAAGACTGACTCCAGTATCACTTGTTAGTGCTGTATTCAGTTTAAATCCAAGAAGGACTTTTCAAAATGCCCAAATGAATTAGAAATACCAGTCTTCCTGAAAATCAGTGAAGTACCTGCTCCTAAAGCGCTTGGTTGCTTTTGTGAATTCCATCCTCTATTGTAAAGCCTTCAGAGGTAGGAACATTTCCTTATTCTAGAATTGTTTGGAATGACATAGTAACAGTAACTACCAGTTAAATTATTTCTAAGCAATCTTTTCTAAGAAAATTGATGAAAAAAATGCAAATTAAGAAGAAAACATTTTCACATCTTTTGGATGGCTTTGTAAGTTCCTATGTAAGCCTTCTGTTAAAGATGAGGAATTTTAAATTACTCTTTAGGTGTATTTTAAATATTTTCCCCTTCATTTTTAACTGAACAGGACACCTTATACTTTATGCTAATTTTCTTGTAGATAAAACGTGGAGTGAAATTTTTATCTTTGGAGGAACTGAGTATGCAAGAGCTTACTGACCGTCGGGCCATAATCTTCATTAATGCCAAACCACAAAAAGAGTGAGACACGTTTGATCTACTAGAATTTATTGCAATAGCTCATCTTTTCCATCGATTCCACTATTGTTCCACTGTTGTTTTCAGTACAAACTTCATAGTATAGATATATATATACAAATATATAAAATAGAAAGTTCTGTTTTAATTCCAGCACAGTGCTTCATGTCCTAGAAGGCAAAAGATTCATCCTTTATAAAATAAGAATTTGGAAAACAAGTTTTTCCCCTCTAGACAGAAAAGATTTATTCAGTTTAGATGTTTTTCTTAACTTAGCCATTAAGACTCATTCATTTAAAACCCTTTGATTCCTGATGGTGGGACACCCAGTGTTTTATTAGTTATAACAAAGCTTGTTATCTAAGCTGAATGTCACGCGACAATGAAACCTATGATTTGATGATCTTCTTGTATGGACACGAGTGGAATTTTAAGTACAACATCCCAAAAGGCAGGACAAAGCCAAGCATCAAGTTTTCAAGCTTGATAAAGAACCTGTGTCCAGTTCTTCTCTGTTTAAGTTGAGGCCAGCCTAACAGATCTTCTTAGATTTGAATGCAGGAAGTTGGTACTGGGCTTGTTTAACTGGGAGTCATTTCCTGTAAATAGTCTCACAGATCAAAGAATGCTCTTCCAATATTTTGCAAGTCCAAAACCTTCTTCTCTGTCAACACATCACATATTTGGTTTACAGTATCATTAGCTTCCCTTTTAAGCTTGTATATGACACCATAAAGATGTCTGAGAATATCTATGACAAATTAAATTTCCATGCTCTTTGTTGATCCCTAGAGTTGTCTTTAGCAGGTTTTCTTTCTTTGACTTTGATACAGGTTCTTGCCTTTGCACCTTGGCAGCAGTCTTAGTCTCCAGTTACCTTTGTGTCTGTCATTACTTCATTTTTTGATCCCTGAGTCAATACCTTGTTTATTAGTGGTTATGTTATTTCTTCCACTTATATACTTCCTGTGAATATATTTACTGTCCTTTAAAATCAGAACTCCATTTTCAGAGCTTAACATGCAAGTACTAACTCTGCAAATAACACGCAAAAATATCTTGTTCCATTTCAGTCTTGCAGTAGAGGAGGAGGCACAAGATTCATCTTATGAACAGACTATCTTGTCGCCTTCTGTTTCAAGAAAAGGCAGTAAGGAAAAAGCAAGGTATGGCTTTAGGATTTACTAGTTGTCAATGTTCTCTTATTGCTTTAACATTAGAAATAGAATTCTGATTGAAAAGAGTGATAGTTTCTGAAGAGAGTATGAATACTGAAATACAATGTTAAGTTGTATCTTTCTTTCACCTCCTAATTGCAGTAATCTTCCTTTGTCTGTCTTAGTAATTATTTGTTGTCCTTTTCCATGCTGTATTTGAATATCTCCCATTTATTTGGCTTTTTTTCCTTTCAATATCCCTTGGAGACAATGAAATGCTGTTATTTTATGGCTTGACAACCAAGACACAGGGAAATTAAGGTAGAAGTTCTTTCTTAATTTAGAACCTAGACCCACAAAAAGCTCCTACACTGCCTACACACATCCTTATTTCTAGATAAATTTCTTCCAGTGAAATTCCTTAGATGACTGAAAGCTGAGAAGGGTGTGCTCAGAACTGCCCCAGTTTTGACGGCAACAAGCCTAAAAATGCCTCACTTTTGCAGGGCTCCCTCTGATCTATCCAGTACACTGCAGTCCTTTCTGTGGAACTGATCTGGTGGGCATGTCTGCCCATACCAAATGGCTCAGAACCTCTACCTTTGTAGTGGGAAATTAATTTCCTTCTTTTACAGAAAGAGGATTTGAGCCTGTCCGTCCCACCTGCTGATCACAAGATATTTGGGGTTTAGCATTCTCTTTCTGGTTTGTTGTAGCTGTTCATTGATGATGAGGCGTAATGAACAGAGCTTTCCACTTCAGCTGTTAAAGCACTTATCTGAGAGCATAGAGACCATAGAGTTCTAGTCCTTGTCTTGATGACTTTTAATACAAAATACATAATGCTTAGTTTGTTCCTGTGGAAGAAAACTGAACCATGGTCTCCCAACTGTGCTTCATGGAAAACAGCAGCACAACCATGACCACAACGGTGCCTTTCAGAGAAGGCAGGTGTACATGCCTAATTCCAGAGGAATATTCAGGATTCCAAAACCAGTCCAAATAGAGCTCCCTTGCCATCAGTGGGGTCGTATCTAGTCCTTGATAGGAATGTGATGTAACCTACAACTCTCCTTGGCTTTTCTGTTAGCTAACTTAGTGAGTTGACCATTTATCATGCTGGTTTCTGTGGGTCCCAGTCCTGACTCCCTAATTTCCCTCATTTTATGGTGTAGGGAGCCTTGACCATGCCTCAGGGCTTTGAATTCTAGTCAGTGGTGGGCATTACAAAATGCTAAGTGCTGCAAGGTTGGAAAAAACAGGAGAGATGGCATGTCTGTTGTAGGAATTGAAGCACTATGTTTGCAATTTTTAGCATGGAGCTCATCCATGAACTGTGATATGCTACTGTCTGTACAGGCATTTTATTGATAGAGATAATGGTTGATTTCTTAGACTGCTTATATATCTCTGGGTATGTATGTATCTGTGCTTGAGAGGTGAAATCTGCAGTAAGAAAGTAAAGAGAAAATTGGAACCTGCTTTGTGATCTCAATAGTTCAATGGTATCTCCAATGGAGGAAAAGCAGGTGTTACCTGCAACAAAGTTCACTTAGCAAAAGCAGCACTAGAGTAAAAGGCTTAAGGTATTATTTTGTCATGTGTATCAGTTTGTTTAGAACTGACATGCAAATTGTTAACAGATAATAGCTACCATCTGGGAAGGGTTGAGGTTCTGACTTAAATCAGCACCCAGATTGTGAGATTAGTCTATCCAAAAGTTTTTGACTTACAAGGCAGACATTTCCATTTCACTAGTTATCTGGACTGCAAGCACTTCTGCAATTCAGTTTAAATCATTTCGTAGTAGATACCTGAAATGGATCCTATGAATTGCATTGTGGAAGGTTCCTGTTTCAGGACGCAAAAGAGTAAATCCTGCATCTTGAATGTCGTACCAGGCCTGTTCTAGCTTCTGCTTGTTTAGCAGGTCCTAACGCCCAGCAAGCTCTGGTCATGACCCACCGTGCATATGCCAGTTTACTGAAAGGGAGCAGGAGGCAAGGGGAGATATTGAGCCCCGTTTATGTTTGCTCTGCACCAGTGGGAGATTCCTTCATCTCAGGAGATGCTCTAGAGTCACAGACGATTTTGCACAGACTCAGGCAGCAGTGCAGAGCTTAGAGTCCTGTTCTCACGAGGTAATATGTTTGTTTATTGCAGTGCGAGATGAGGATACCCTTGAACAGTTGCTTTTTGATGTAATTTATGTCAATTAAATAGTAAACGACTGCTCTGTTAGCAACCATAATTCCTTCTGAAAGCAAAACATTTTCTTTAGGAAGAAACAAATACCTGGCTCAATTTCCCATAGTAAACTTGCAGGGATACAAAGACTTCTTTCTTCAAGTATGAAATAATTGCTTTTGAATGTCATGATCAAATTGTATGATTTATAACCCCATTGTCATTCATTCTGAATCCATAATTCATACATCATTATTATTATTAATTTGTGAGATGTATGGGAGTTACTTGAAGGTCAGTAGCTGACTCCGAGTCTCAAACACGCTTAGACTTTGTCCTGCATATTTTTTTCCTTTGATCATATGTTTCTGTTCATCATTATTTTGCAAAGTACTACTGAACTCAGTTTAACGCTATTGTTTTGAAAAAGTGATACTACTTTATATAAACCATAGTTGAAAGCTAAGAGAAAGGGCTGTTGTAATTGTCTGCTGGAAGTGTTTAAATTAGATGTAAAGGAAGTGCCAAGTTGATAGTTTGACATATATTTGCATAGACAGATAGCAACATTTTTGATCAAACAGTTGCATATCTGATACACACATTGACTGGGCTAAAAGATGATATTTAATGTAAACTGATAAATGTGCATTTATTCCATGCTATGTTCCAGTACAGCATTTAAGGAAATTATTTCCAATGCTCATTTACTCCTTTCCTAAAGACAGCCAAGGCATTAAGCTGTGCAAAAAAAGAAAGAAAATAGCTGTCATGCCTGTCTTTTGGTGGTAGCATATCGTATTGGCTGCCTTCTGCCTCACACTGCCTCTCTGGTGACCCACTGGACTTTTGTACTGAAGTGGCAACAGGAATTAGAAACAGCTTGGAGACTATTAACTGCCATGAGTTCTCCTTTGCAATATTCCTCTGCATTCGCAGCAAGTATGTCTCACGAGTAGTAAGACAGTTTTGGGAAAGGGGAGTGATTTTTTTATGCTGTCAGAATTCCCACTGGTAAATAAAATGGGGATTAAAAAAAAAAAGGACAGGAAAAGATAGTAGAAGTCTACTGTAATGGTTACTGGTTATTTTATAGCACTGAGCTGTAAGACAGCACCTCCACGTTCTTTATGAGGTAAGTATTAGACAGATATGATGAACTGAAGAGTTGAGGAGTAAGGTAGAGGCAGGGATGGAAGAAAACCTTAGAGCAGCTATTCCGCCAAGGAGAGCATAGTCATACCTGAGAGAAAGAAGCAGCAGCAAAAAAGCCAAAAAAATCACTGTTCAAACCCATCGCTTTCAAGTGTTTTCTTCCTGAAAACTGGAAAGAAGTAGAATAAGAGTGATTCAGGAGCCATTTGAGTAGATAAGAATAGGGA